GGAGGAGAGCGGCCCAGAATTTCGTGCGTTCAAGGAGGATTGTCGATAACCTTTTTTGATCCACTGAGGGTGGACTACTTGGTGCAAGTAGGTTCGTCCAGAATTCCATTTTCAGGGTTTAAGTAAGTACGTTCGCCAAGAAGTCTATACCGAACGCTGAAATAAACAAATTACCATTGAACTTCATTTGCTTTGCTTGGTGGCAATTAAACAGGCAAACTTTCAGAAATACATCTTGCCATGAATCTACCACTGGATTAAGGAGGAAGGCAAAAATGGTCAATATTTCCTGTGCGTAATATGATGGCACAAAACCGACGTTCGCTGATGTGAAATGAAGTGATGAAAAATTGTGATCATTATGTGAGGTCAGGACCATTTGGGTCTGCGTCATGGCTATGTGAGGTCAGGACCATTTGGCTCTGCGCATTTTGCAGCTGTCGCCAGCTACCGGACTGTGGTGAAATGTTTTTTTAATATTTTATCCGTGCTGCAGCTCTAAAAATAAATTTGGAATTTCACGTCTGACAGGGAGTTCATTTATGGAAACGGAACAGCCGTAGGTAAGCATCCGTATGCATCTGGAATCAGAATCACTTCATTTTTCATTGACCTTCGTTCACATTGTTTTGAGGCTGCGTTTGGGACGACTGGGGTGAACAATCGCTATAAGTCGCGTGAAGTTGCGTACATTTATTTCTTGAAAGTTTTGTTAGTAATCTATGGCCCAAACACACAAAATTCAACTAATCTAATATAAAAAATCAATAATGGCAGGCATCGTCTTTTAAAGGCACATTATGTCAATCGTCCATTGTATCCATCATATTGATTGAATTATATACAAACGTCAAGGTACATTATAACATTTAATAGCTCGACTCATGTTTATCAGCAGACAAACAGTTCTGCAGTGCGATTGTCACAGGAATATGACCAGGTTGCACGTCAAGCACGCTTCGGAATATTTCGGCTGCTTTATCATCGTTACCAATATCTTTGTGTGCATAACCCAAGACTGAAAGAATTAAAGGGTAATTTGGATCGGACTTGAGCCCAGAGCATAGATTTTCCATCTTACAAACAACTTGTTCGGCCTTGTCAGTCTTGTTTAACTTTCTATAAAGAGAAGCTGCAACGAGGCGCGCATAAATATTCAATGGCAGAAAAATTTCTTTTCTCGCTTCAATTTCTCGTGCAAGATGAACACCAACCAAAGGTATGTCTTCTCTATTGAACTTCACTATCGTTTTATCATTTCTCTGAATGACGTTTTCCAAATGAAAAATTGCTTTATGGTGTTCTTCTAGCCGGTATAAGAGCGCTCCAAATGCTGTTTCTACGAATGGATCCGGATTATCTTCTGTTTCAAAGTAATTTTCAAAGCATGTTTTTGCTTTATTAAGCCACATTGAGTACGCTGTTTCGTCGTCATCTAATGTCGCAAAAGCCTTGGTTTGGTAAAGCTCAGCCAGTGTTGCCACTAAATCATGACCATATTGGTAATCAGCATTTAAGATTTTAGTGCAATATTCGTAAACTTTTATTGTCCCATCAACATGTCCAGCTCTGCAGAGCAGAATCCCTAAGGAACGGTACACGAAATATAGACTGGCAAAATCGTACTTGCCAAGAATAATCTGTTGATTTTCAAACGATTTTTTCAACATCCCATCATGAGCTTCGAGCAATTCCAGAAACGAAATATAATATGAATAGGCATAGTTTCCTTTTCCGAGCAACACCAACGCATTTCCAGCAAGGCGCAAACAATCAAGCTTCATTTGAACTAAATCCATATCTTGAGGAACTGCACTAGGCGAAGAACCAACAGACGACAAAGCTTTCTTGCAGTATTCTAGCGCTACCTCGTATTCACCCATTTCGTAGTACACTTGCGCGACGTTTTTGTCCGAGAGCGGAAAATCCGAATCTTGAAAGTGCAAGTTGCCTTTCTTCTCAAGGGACGAAACCAACATTTTGTGGCAGTAAGCAAGAAGATATGACATGAAAGAAGGACGCTTGAACAAAAAGCCAACATCGTGACCTTGTTTTGATAGTTCTTCACAAGTTTCTACTGCTTCTTTTTTCTTTCCCATCTCAAGAAATACGCGCAAAAGCGTGCTGTAAACACAGCACCCCACAGTCGTAGCGACTTCGCCGTGATCTGAAAGGTAACTCTGAACGCAAGGATCGCGTGATGAGTACGGAAATATTACCATCATATCCCATATCTTGTCTCCAACTTCAAATATCTGAGCGATAATACCACTAGCCTCTTCAAGACGGTTTTCTGCAGTTAGCATCTCCAAATATTTAACTTTTCTAAGAAGTGTAGCAGGCTCGTTTGTTTGCAGCTTCATCTGATAACATTTTTCAGCTAAACGACGCTCCTCGATGGTTCCTTTTCCCGTACGTTCAAGAGCTTGTCGCTGGTGGCAATTACCTAAGGACAGTAATATCTGCGAATGGCCATATCGTTCCCCTATCGAACTTCCCATGCACTCGGTTACCGGTAACATAATTTCGTACACAACAATCGCTTCTTCTGTTCGCTCACATTCGACGTAATAGCTTGCTAAAGTTTGGAGAAATGTCAGGAGTTCTTCAACATGACTGTTTTTTTCTTGGAATTTCTCTTTACAGAATTGAACAGTTTGATAAAAAGACGTGATTTCGCTCTCGTTCTTCACTTTCTTGGTAGCTGTGAATGCATCCAATAAATCAATAAACTCCTCTTGTTCAACATTAACTACGTTATCATTTGATAAAAACAACAAAAGTGATTCTTCAAGTGAACCAATTGCATGTTCTGTTCTGCCGGACAAAATCTGAGCACGACCAATCCAGGAAAACATGCGTCGGCGAATTTTCGAAAAATCACTCTTATCTCCTGGCCAGGTTTCTTCAGAAAACATCTCAACAACGACAGAAATATTTTGTAGAAATTCGCTCATTTCTTTCACAATAGTATCAGCTAGTTCATTCCTTCCGAGTTGCAAATATGATTTGGCTAGCAAAAGTTGAATTTCACATTTGAAAGCAAACAATTTTCCCCGCACATCTCCAGTAAGTTCGTCTACTACATCGCTCGACCCCAACTGTTGTTCTGCGGTTTCGATTACATAGATTCCTCTTCGACAATAGGATGCCACATTTTCCAAAGCCTTGTTTTCAGTTTGCTTGTTCATCTTAGCCAACCGCATAAGACAAGTTACTACTAAATACAAGAATTCTGCCTCATATTGTAACTTCAACAAACCACATTCTAACCTAGATGTGAACTCGATTGCTTCTTCACAAACACGCCGCGCGTCTTCCAAATCATTGCAACGCATGTGGCTTCTGGTTAGCCCCGACAAAATTTCTAAGTAATCCACCACACTATCGGTATCAGTATGACAGGAGTAATAAGTTGCAGCTTCAACAAACTGGATTGTTGCCATTTTATACTTTCTGCTATTAAAGTGGGATTCTGCCATCAACTTGGATATTTCTGCCTTTTTCTTGTTATCAGACGTAAACTGAGCAGATAGCTCTAAATATGGGGGCATCAAATCCATTCTCTTCTCTTCCTTGCACCGAAGAGCCTCACTAATGAAAACGTCAGCTGGATTAGGACAGTACTTGTCCAAAGCTGGCTCCAACAAATGATGAAAAGATTCCATCGTCTCCTTTGCTTGATTCAAGTTGCCTGAGTGAAGATCATATTTTACAGAATCACCAAGCACATTTAATCCAGAAATAATGGTCAAAGGATCTGGTAATTCTTTATCGTCACCATCAGCAATTGATTGTTTCGTCGTACCTTGTCCGCAAAGCGAACTTGGCTTCAATTTCTCACCAGTTTGCTTAGTGACCTGATTGATGTCCACCTGTTTGCCAGATTCCAGTTTTCTGTTTTCTTGTCGTTTCTGGGTTGAGCCACTTTGATTATCGAAATCATCCGTTTCAAATTTGGCAACTAGACCCAATTTTTCAAGTTCATTTGATTCAGAACGAAAAGGATAGCTTGTTGACAATAAATTATCTCTTACTGTGGTATCGCGTGCGTCATTGCCATGTGTGCGTGATTCGATTGGCGCAGTCATTTTCAAAGAATTAAACGCTGAACTTAGTTCAGAAAACTTGGGCATTTTTCTCACTTCTTTCGATGTTGAAGGTGATACATTCATTGAACGAAAATAACTTGCTACGAGGCCACTTGAAAACAGTTGAGAAAAACGTGCATCTGAGTCTGGGGATTCTGGAAATATATCCAATATTTTCCCAATGACTTCCTTGATTGCTGTGTCAGAAGTATTGTCATTGGGAGGTCTGCCTTTTTCTAGTTTGTCAAAAATTTCATTTGCCTTTTGGTAAAATAGCCTCGACCTTGCCAGATCGCCTAAACAGATGAACAAATAAGACAGAGATGTAAAAGAATTAGCAGAATTGGCTTTTTGCTCGTGGGTAACTATTTGGCCTTGTGCACTTTCAATGAACTTGACAACTTGCTTGACAAAACTCCTAATCTCTTTGTTTTCTGAATCCGCAAAAAGAAGGCTTGCTAATATTGGGACCTTCATCGTGATGTGTTGGTGATATGGATCTGATGAATGCAATTCCATTTCCATTCTGAATGCAGGTATGTAGTAATCAGAAGATTTTGACATATTTGATCGATCCCAGTATATATCTGATAGATCACATAGTATATCAACAGTTATCTCAGATACTCCGTTTCGCGGGTAGACTACATCACACATTTGTAAAGCTTCAAGCAAAAGTTTTTCTTGTTCAAATACATCAATCGATCGATATTTGTGAGCAAGCAAAGTAAAAAGAAGAATGGTTGACGAATTAAAGTTGCCCGAAGCTGAATGTCGTCGTAACATTGCGGCAGCCTTGTCATAATGGAGTCGTTGTGCCTTTTGGCGTTGTTCTGCCGACAAATAACTTGCTTTTTCGTTGGACGCAATCTTGGCAAGGTCACCTAATTTTACCATCAATTCAAATTCAAACAATGGAACCTTTCTTGTGTGCGTGAACCTTAGAGCAGTGAGCACTTCACTGTAACATTTTTGAGCTTCTCGAATGTTCCCCATCTCTTCCCAACAATCGGCAAACTTCTTCATAAATTCGTTCTTTTCATCACTGTCACTCATAGATAAAACATGGTTCCATCCCTCGTTTAATTGCGAGTTTGCTTCAGATAGCGCGCCTGTTAGGTGTAAGATGTTCGCAATAGCCAAGTGGGCATTCAAAATGCCAGATATGTTAACTTTCTTGATGTTTAAGATTTCCAAACATTCAGTGTAGTAATGCAGAGCTTCGGACGTTAATTCTTCTTCATGGCACATTTGAGCGAGAGTGTGGAGATAAAACGCTCTAAGATCAGAATCGCAGTTTGAAGGATCGAGGGCAAGAAGTTCCTCTTTTAGGAAAGAAATTGCTTCTTCACTTCTTTTCACTTCGACAAGTGTTTGAGCGACTGCGCACGCTATCATTGCTTTTGCTTCCATATCAACGATATTTTGGAGACAATCTTTAGCATCAAACGCAGACTTGCAAGCTTTTTCACTTTCGCCTAATCTAGACCATGTGGTAGCTAAACTACAATGTGCTAGAGCAGTATTGTGCGGACTTGTTCCACTTGACGACTCTAAGCATTCCTGAAGATGTGACAAAGCGTTGTAATAGTCACTAGTAATATTGCATACATCTGCGATCATTAAATGAAGAGCACCTTCTATCACATGCAAAGCTGTTCCACAAGATGAGAACATTTGAAGAGTTTGTTCGAAGTAAAATCTGCTTTCGTCGTACATGAGCAAAGATAACGAAGCTTGACCCAACGACATTGTTGTTTGAAGCATGAGAAAATTTGCATTCTTGCTAAAAATATGAAGCCCCATGGAGAACGCACGCATAAGACATTGATAAGCTGTGTCGTAATTTTTTTGCAATAGGAAGATTTGACCAAGTTCGTTGAGCAAAATATAGCCTTTTGTACTAACACCTTCGTCTTCTATGAAACGTGTTAATAAACGAATAATGCTGTCGAATTCCTGAATTTTTAATTCACGTCTAACTGTGGGTATTTGCAAACACAGCGTCCGCGCTATTAACGTTTGCAAGTCGTCCATATCAAGTAGATTTTTTGCAATTAGACATTGATGAATAAATTCACGAGCTAACTCAAAGTTACCTTCTAGGATATGAACATGAGACGTTTGCATTAAAATTTCAAAAATCAACCCTTTGTCTGCCTTCGTTATATCGCAATCTGATTCAGAGAGTGCGTGACTTAACAATTCAATATTTTCAGGAAGATTGTATTTTTTGCACATCAAAAAACGCAGGGCATCTAGTTCGCATTTCGAGGAAGAACTATCACAATTATTATCTGCAACAAACTTAACTCTAAATCGACACAACTGCAACTTTACATCTCCCGGGTTTACTGCGACAGCTTGGTCGTAACACTGTAGAGCTCTGGTGTATTTTAACAAACGGCAATATATATCCCCCTTTACTTTGTCAGAATAATCGAAGAACAATTCTTGGGAGATGGAATCAAGATCGTTTTGATCGCAAACTTGGTGAAGTTTATCATACAAAGGAATGGTAACATAGAAAAAATGGAATAGTTCTTTTTCTTTAGGCATATTGTAAACTGGTTCATTCTTCTTTTCATCTCTGTTGGTGTTTATTTGTTCTCCCTGTTTTCCAGCTTCTAAATACGTTATATTTCGTAGCTTTAATGCAACAGCTGCAGCGCTTGCTATGTTCTCCCGGGCAATTGAAGAAAGCACTCCTTTTTGATGGAGTTCGTCGAGGATTTCAAACGATCCACTTTTTTTACTTCCGAAACATTTTGCAAGCCCTGCAATCACGCGATCTGTTAAACGGTAAATTTCTTTTTTAACGTCGTACAACTTTCCATCGTCGAAAGGGTTGCGTCCTGTGATTAACTCTTCATAACGAGAAACGTCTTTCCGAAGGATATTTATGGCTCGGCACTCCGCTTGGGTAACTAGTGTTCCATGATGGCAGGCATCAGTTGTGCAGGGCTTACACAATTCGTTTCCCAAGGCAATTTTGTATTCGGTGAATAAAGCTTCTTTAGGGGATTGGAGAGGTGCGACAGTTAAAAGAATTTCAGCTAGGCCCGGATTTTTCTCATGCATTTCACTTGTTTGAAAATTAGCCATTGTAATTGGAGTATGGATAAGTTCAAAATCTTTCATGTTCCCCAACGGTGTCTTACATGCCTGAGGAAGAAAACCATCAAACGAGATACCACGTGGAGTAATATCGTCAAAAAACCAATCTCCGTTAAGCACTTCAATACCCATACTTGGTAAAATTGTCTCTCCAAGATTGATGATCTGTTAAGGAAACATATTTGAAAATGTCTTAAAAGAGTATGGGATTAGTACTCTTGTGAGTTTAATATATTGGGAAAACGTTATTCCGAATAACTGCTCTCCCGGAGAATTACGAGGCGAGGGCGAAGAACATTCACTCTTCTTTAGTTCCATAATGGTACAGTTAAAGCAGGGCCCAAAGGCATGCTTCCCTAAGATACTGTAATTTGTAAATCAAAGAGTCCCTTAGGGAGAGCAGTTCCATTTTTATTATTTAAAATTATCTCAAACACATAACCAATCAACTAGACCATTTTCAAATGCCCACAGGCTATAGCCACAGGCCAAATGCCCACAGGCAATAACTTGAGAACGAGGCTTCATTGAAAGTTGCAATGTTTAAACCAAATTTAGTACATTTAAAATCGCGAATTAAAAAATGGAACTAACACCTGCAAACTGAGACTTTTCCACCTGAATAATTTAAATCCCTTTCATGCTAACTATGAAGTATGGTTCTTCCACTTTTTCAAAAGCTGTACTTACCTGTAAATGAACCAGGTTCGTTAAATTACGAAAGAAAATCTTGCATTTCTCCTCTTCAGAAGTTATCAAAATTGCCCATTCAAGATCTGAATATGGTGTCATCTCGTCTCGTGCCAGAGATCCAAGAACCACAACTTCATATTCGCATGGTGGTTTTCCAAGAATCTCCAAACACTCTTTGACAATTTGAGAAAACAATTGTTTGATTCGTGATGATATCATTCGGCACAATTCATTGATATCTTCGGTTTGTTCAACAAAAACATCTCGAAGGAGGTTTTCATTTGTTTCATTTTTGTCATCAAATCTTCGATCTAACGAAATTAAAATGCTCTTGACCTCATCACGTAATTGATTTAAATCATTTCTCTTGGTTTCACAATTGAAGTGACAACGAGCAGGATTGCCTCCAATATTTAAAACTAGACTATCTTCGACATCCTTCAATTTTGACGGAAGTGACCGTGACGTTTTTTCTACGAAATCGCCTTCTACTGAACCTGATTTCAAGCAATTGTCTACAAAGTTGTATAGTGATGCTGCTTGGAGTAAAAGACGTTGTTTTTGTCCCAATTCCACGTCATCTTTTCCTGCTTTCTTTTCTAAAACGTCTGCCAGATAATAATAAGCCTCAGGATTTTGTTTGGTTCGATGTTCTCCCAACTTCTCCTTTCGTATCGCCTTACCAAAAGACTGTTCTGCAATCTGAAGTTCGCCATTCTTCAATGCCGTCTTTCCAATCTCGATTAAGGTAAAGGAGTCAAGCTAGAAAGAGACAATTATATGACGGTCATATGGAATATTATAGAATGCAATTGTCTTATAGATAAACGATTGGCAGCAAAGGAGCACAAATCCATCGAGTATACAAGAAGATACTATATAGGATCGAAACATTGCGACGTAAAGTACTGTAATTTGTTCAGATATTACTGCATGCAGGGGCGATTGGACTCTACCTATATTTTTTGGCATTCTGTTATGAGAACACGCGAACATCACCAGACGTCCGGTTTCAGAAAACTTCATTGTGCTTTGCGAGAAAAACATGTTATTGATATAGTTTTAATATAGGTTAAAAGTTGATAACATTTTCCGCTTCGTGGGAAATAAAATAATATTTGTAAAAGTTTTTATATCAAGCGAATATCGAAACTTCATTACAATTACATTCAATTACAGAGCGAGATGTGTATAATCCTAATTACGTAGTCTAAAACCACACTTTTACAATATATCAATGGTGAGCCTTGAATTTAAAACCGGCTTTGTTGCTGTCGCTACATCATGTCGACCATCACTGAAAACAATCTATAAAACAATCTAAATTACCTCTTTAGTTTTCCTTTCATTCTCATAATTTTGGTTAAGCATTTCTTGAAAAGCTGTAGATAAAAAGCAACGTTTACTCATACTGTAACTCTGGTATGATCAATTTTATATGCAGGCTACTCCCAACCGCAAGAAAGTTCAAAAATTTTACACAAAACATTTTGTTATTCCCAAACTCGAGCTGCAGTATACTGTCCGTTAACAAATTAGCATAATATTGTTACTTCTTTTATTATTAGCATGACAAAATTACTGGATGCTGATTGGTTGAGAGGAGTACAATTATTTCATTAATTGTACTGCAGTACAATTAATGATTTTCCGGGTTAACAATTAATGTAGTAAAACAAAACAAACAAAATGGCGGAAAGGTATTTTAAACACAAATATGAAATGA